GGCCGGCCGCGGCGCTGCGATGGCCGCCGGCGCGCCGCGGCGCCGCGGGAGCCGATGATGGGGCGGCGGCCATGGCCCGAGCCGGGGCAGCGGGCGGCGGCGGGCGCGAGGAGCGGCCGCCGGAGGAGCTGTCCCTGGAGGAGGTGCTGAAGGCCTACGAGCAGCCCGTCAACGAGGAGCAGGCGTGGGCCGTGTGCTTCCAGTGCTGCCGCGGGCTCGCCGCCGAGGGCGGCCCGCCGGCGCCGCGCTGGGGCCCGGCCGGGCGCATCCGCGACCCCGCCGACCTGCGCCTGCACAAGGACGGCGCCGTCTCGGCCCGCGGGGAGCTCGGCGTGGCCGGTGAGTGGCGGGCGGGGCGCGCCGGGGGGCCCTCGCCCCGTCCGAGCGGGCGCCGGGGGCGCGGGCGGGCGGGCGGGCTCGTCCTCGTCCTCGTCCTCGCGGGGCAGAAGCGGGCGCGCCGGGGCCCGGCCCGCTCCTGCCTCCCTCCCGCCAGAACGAGGCTCGGCGCAGGACGCGAGCGGGTTGTCCTCTCGTGTGCACTGTCTCCACGGGTCCCGCAGGGGGATTGGTGGGCTTTCCTCGTAAAGGGAAAGGCGGCAGCGTTCTGGGGTGGAGAAGAGTTCGGGGTGCCCCGCTCTTCCGAGCTGGCGATGGGCGCCTGAAGCCGGAGAGTGTCGCGGGGTGGGCTTCGCTTGCTTCCGCGGCGCCAGGCGCTGCGAACTGGCAGCTCCTCCTCCTCTCTTTCGAGGGCTTGTTTTTTCCTCGGGGAATTCTGATTATTTGGGACAAAACGTTGAGTGACTCGGGGGCACTCCAAATGTTACAATAAGGCAACAGCAGTTGCGGCTGGGGCAAAACCCCCGAGTGCCTGCTCTGGGAAGGCTGCAGACTCCGTGCAAATGGTGAATAATGGAACGGCTTTGCCCCCAAGGAGTTGAAGGAAATGGAGAGGGCACAGACCAGGTCTGACGGCATTCGAGGACATACCCTGTGGCCGGAATTGGTGTTTTCAGTCCCTGTTTCTTGTCCTTCCTGTAGAACCTGCTCATAATTTTTCCTAAAGCAAGTTTGGGAAGTACAGATTGCTGAGACTAAGCCACCCGAAGCATTTCTGGTCTAATTTAGGGGGTTCTCCTCCTCTAGGCACCAGGCAAGGGGTCTCCACTCGCAGGTGCAGTGATTGCAGAATGGAAGATGACATGTTTGTGCGGGTTTTGCGGCTCCTGGGGGGGGGAGGCAGGTAGCCCTGCTTCTGGCCTGAGTCTTGGGAGGCCATTCACACATGGCAGGCAGAATCGTGTCCCGAGGGACTCTGCCGGACTTGGGAGGCTTCATGTTCTCCAGACCTTCCTTCTCTCCACCTGCCGCGCGGGTTCTCTCTCACCCGAGTCCAAAGTCTTCCCTGCCCCAGTGAGCTGGGTGGAGCCTCTGGGTCCTAATGAGCACTGGATTCTCTCTCTTGTGTTGAATAAACACAGTGGCCACCCTGTCTTGCAAGGGCAGGCCTCGCCTCTTCGGAATGCCTGTGATGTATGTAAGGAGATGGATTTCCTGCACGGATCTGGTGCGACTGGATGGATGCCTCGCTGGCCTCGGCCCATGCACACCAGCAGCCCCACGTGGCACTCGTGCGGGTTGCCTCCACAACTCTGTGCACTCTCCAAGGCATTGCAACTTGGCTGCCTTCGCTCGTTCTCCCTCTGGAGCGGGGGGGGGGGGTAACAGGAGGGATGAGGCAACTCCCCCCCCCCCCGTGGCTGCTTTGGAATGCAAGTGAGGTGCCCCTTTAATTTGAACTGGCCTCATCGCAAGGCTGAGGGGAGATCAGAAGAACTGCCCGTGAATTGAAGAGCAGGTGCCCAGGGTGGCTTGTAAAGCGTTAAACAAATTTCAATCAGGAGCACAAGAACCTTGAACGCCTGCCATAAAAAGGGCAGCGGAAAAGCAGGTAGCAGGATTGAAACAAAGGCCTAGCAGCATAAGGCCGATTCACGGAAGATTAAAGAGTCTGGAGGTTTTCTTTCAAAGAAAGGTACTGAGATGATGTGCTTGTAAGCCTCCCTTTGGAGCGTTTCCCCCGGAACAGCCCACCAGCTTCAGGTGTTGGGGGGCTCCTGGGGACAGGCTGACCCACAAAGACCGGCAGCTCGGGGGTAAACGGCCTGCGAGCTGCTGCAGTCGGCAAAGCACAGGTGCCCTGAGCCTGAGGACTGGCTCCTTGCAGCAGTGTTTTGGTTTGCCTGGAATTCCCAGAGCGCCTTCAGAGGCTGCCCCACCATTTAAAGCAGTGCAGCAGATGGTTTCTGTGGGCCAAAAGTAACCCGGATGAAGGGCTGCCTTGCCTTCCTTTAACACTCCAGGATTTGGAACCCAAATCATTCAGGAAAATTACAAGCATGCAAGGAGTGTCTCATTCGGGTTTCCTGCAAGCTCTCCTCTCTGCTGAGGGGATGTTTGCGCTCCGCCTGGTTCCAGTGAGCCGAGGCCTTGGTGGCTCTCGCCAGGCTGATGCGCACAGTGCTGGCTTTGCGCTCACACCCAAGGCTTCTGTTTGGAGATAAAAGCGAGCTGGATTAGGTAGTCCTTTCTCTGCAAACCTTTGCCTCCTGCTTTCTCCACTGTGCCTGTAATGGTTTAAGAAGCTCAAGAGCAGACCAAATTCAGGCCCGAGTGCTTGCTTTTGTGTGCATTTTGGCCATCTCAGCTCCTGCCTGGTCAAATAAATTTAATTCGCAGCCTACACGGCTGTCCAAGCGGGAGCCCCTGCTGTCACGCCGGGCCCTTCCGTGCCTCTGCTGAATCATGCTGCCAGAAAAGCTCTCGCTGCAACTTTTACTGGCATGTTACAGTCCTGTCCTGCCCTTTCTCCAAGGTGATCAGGAGGCAGTGCTTGACTCTCTTTCCCCTGGGGACATGGGCTCGGCTGGCCCAGGGTCACCTGGGGGACATCACAGCTGGGGGGGGGACGTAGCACGCCCCTCTGCCCCCACCACGCTGCCGTGGCCTTCGTTCCGTCCGGTTCTTCGTGAAATGCCACTGATGCCGTTTTGGGGGATGGAGGTCATGGAGCAAACCGGTGCTTCCAGCATTTAAAAATTTGTTGCAAGGCAACTTCAGCCTTGTTGGAGAGTGGCATCTAAGAAATCTCAGGCGAGGGGGATGTGGATGCCAACTGGCCTGGCCTTGCCAAACAATGACCCACAGAACAAAGTCCCCGCAGCCAACCTCGGCACCCAGAAGGTTCATACGGGCAGATATAGCAGGGCCATGCCAGGTTTGTTTTAAGAGTACTGACCAGGAGGAGTTTATTGCGCATCCCCTCCCGGCCTGCTGCCCTCCAGCTGTGGCCAAGCTGGTTGTGGCTGATGGGAGTTGTAGCACAAACCATCTGGAGTACACCCAGTTGAGGAAGGCTCGATGTACTACTGGACTGGCACCCCACCCGCCTTTCTGGGTTCCTCAGCTTGAAGGGCCAGGCAGGACCGCATAAAACTGCCCTTCACCTTTTTACGTGCGGGAGCCCAGGGGAAGCTCCGGGAAGCCTCTTATCCCAGAGGTTCATTGCTTCTTCCTCTGCTCCAGTGACTCCTGGTCTTCCTTGCCCTTTATGAACGGGGTTCGCTGCCAGTCTACCAACATCTACGAACACTTTCTGTTGTCATTACCACGAGCCACGCAGGCCTTGTTTAGGCTCGCGTGACCACCGGAGAAGCCAGCTCAGAGCAGCAGCCTTTCCCGCGCAGGCTGCTGCACGCTGCGCCAGCTGCCCAGTTACCCCGACTGCGCACAACTTGCCGTGCACCTGAAGGTGTGCCGCGCAGGCGGCTTCAGAGCCATCTGTGCCCTACGGCTTGTTGTGGGGCTCAGGAGCCACCTCCCCACTGCGCACCTTGCCGGGTTGTGACTGCAGGGTAGCCAGCGCGCCCTGAGCGTGCCCACGCCAATCCCAAGATAGGCACTGGGAAGGGGAAAAGAGATTGCCCCGACTGCTTTTCCACGTGATCCTGTGCGTGGCCCTGCAGCGCGTCTTCCCCTCCAGGGCGACAGCCTGACTGCTCCCTGGCCTGGGAGCCCCGCTCCTTCTTTCCAAAGCCCCAGGCTCTCCCAGGGATCCCACAAGAAGGGTGTGGAGACGGAAATGCGCCAGGGAGGCTGTGGCCTTCTGCCCAATGGCTGAACCACCCACCATGTGTGCAAAGCCTGACAAATGGGGGGGGGGTGCAAAGGGCCAAGAGCAAGCCGGATTGTCGGGGTCGGCGGCTGCAAAGTGCTCCTCGTGGAGACACAGCCGGGACTTAGGTGGAGACTGTTCTCCAGTAGCAGATTTGTCTTGTGCGGGATGTGGCTGGTGGGGTGGGTGGAATCTTTGCAGGCAAGGATTGCTCTGCGGCTTGTTCTGATAATATTTACTTAGACGCACTGCAAAGAGTGCATTTAAAAACTGGTCTGCCCGGTTCCAGAACGCAGGCTCCCACCGGGTGCAAAAGACTGGCTGCTTGTTCACCTCTTGCTGAAGTGCGGGCACGCTGAGCGTCACTCTGGCCCAAGAGCTAACCTGCCCGCACGCAGCCTCCGCGGCTTGGGGAGGAGGCCAAGAGCAGCATCTGTTCAGTGGTCCCTGAAGGAAGGGGGGCAGCGATGGAGCGAGGCCTCTTTCCCACTGCAGGGAGGGGTTCTGCTCTTCCTCGCACGATCTTTTCCAGCATCCACGGCGTCTCCTGAGCATGCTCTTGACATCTGAAGAGACATGTAGGGGATGCGATGCCCATGGCACAGTTTTCCCAAGCGAGACAAAGGGCTCCTGAAGCGGTCTTTTTATGGCGAAACCCCTCACATTTTAAAGTCTGGTTACAGATTTTAAATTCCGTCCAGGTACAGGCGGGTTGTGCTTTCCTTGGTCCCTCATTTTGTTTTGGGGCGCCGTCTTGAGGTGCTTTCCACCTCTGCCAGCCCCTCCGTTGTAATGCAGGCGTATTCCCGAGTTGCAGGCAAGGTTCCCCACTCCAGGCAGCCATACGGGGCCCACCACCTTTTTGTTGGGTGGTTTGCTGCCTGCTGGAATCTGCACTCTTGAATTCTGCATGCTTTGGAAATGTTTTGAGAGTGGGCCATGCCAGGGGTGACCTATAGCACAGACACCTCTGCTGGGCCTCACAGAAAGGAAGGGAAATGCGATGCTTGATTTCCTGGAAGAGGGCCGGGAGCTCAGCTGAGTCACTTTCCTGAAACTCCGGTTTCTTCTTCCTGACTGGTGTGGGTTCTGGTTTTTTGGCAGTGAAGGAAAAACATTGGCCACATGCTCAGAGGTACTCTTGGCTGCTGAACTATATTGGAATGGGAGTCTTGGGCTGATGGTGGCACAAATCAAGCTCCAGTGAAGGGGCTTCATCTCTGGAGCTGTGCTCCAGCCTCCTCCCATTATGGGTTAGCACTGAAGAAGGCCTGTGCAGCTCCGCCCGGCTGTTCCTGGTCTGGTGCCGTCCAGCTGCTTGGGCTTCAGCCCCAGCTGGGCTGCTGGGAGATGCCCTGCAGATGGTGGGATGCCGGGCTGCTCTTCTCCCTGTGGCAACCTACTCCAAATGCCAAGAGAAATACCTCCGGCTTGGCATCCACAGTTCCCCTTCTGGGGCTGCCTGGTGACAGGGCCGGCAGTCAGCGCGTGCTGGGCAGGAGGCCCGGGAGGTGCCGGGAACCGAGGAGGCCCGGCCTCTCCGCCCACAGGCGCAGTGCCAGGTTTGCAAGGCTGGGAATTAGGGCTGCGCCTCCTTTGTTGTGGTGTCTGGCATTGCTCCGCTGCGGGGCCAAGCAGATCTTCGGTTTCGCCGGGATGGCTCAGGGTCGCTGCGTCCCCAGATGAGGCTGCAGCGGCCCCTTCGGCCTCTAACCACTCTTGGGGCTTCTGGATGGGGCAGACCCCTGGAGACCCACTCCATTTGCCTAATGGCCCTGCCTCTTCATGCCAAGCCCTTAAGCTGCATTGATCGCAGCCTGGGAAATGATCTCCCGAGAAAGGCGGCTCCTCTTACGCGCGTCTTAATGCAGTTTCTGCTGATGTTAAATCATCTGCTCTCATCCTTGCATTTTGTCACAGAGTTCCCTGCAACAGTGTGCCGTCTGTTAGGGACAGCACGGAGCGAGCAAGACCTGTATGCACATGCCCAAGCAACCTAAAACAGAAACAGTCATAAAATAGCATCCTCACTAAGGTGCAGGGAGAGCCAAAGGTCCTGGCGAGAGGATGCCATAACCTGGGTGCTGCTACTCGAAAGGCCTGGTCCTGCATCATTGTCTGCCTCGCGCATGCGCGAGGCCCTTTCCTGGCCATGCGGAGGGAGACGGTCCTTCAAACATCCCGGACCCAAATCTGGAGCTTCCCAGCCTAAGAACTGGCTCCATGGATTGGCACTGGGACAAACTGGGAGACGATGCAGCAGACACGGCACTGCTGTGACACAGTGCCACACGGTCTCAGACTGAGGGCAGCCTCGCAGTCGCCTTCCTCGCCGAAGTCTCGTTTCTGTTCCTCCCCCAAGCTCACTCTGGGGCAGGGGGTTCTGCAGCCCGCGGCCTCTGCAAACTCCATCAGCCACTTTGCATAAAGTCCCCCCCCAAGATGGTTGCTGCAGGCAGCCGGTCCTTAGGGGTCCGGCAGCCCTCAGGCTGTCCTGATTCTCGGCGCAGGCCCCTCTCAGAGCGAGGCCCCCCGACCTTAAGCAGGAAGGCCTCGCTGGCCCTCCCGGAGCTCTCGCCTGCACAGGGCCGCCCCTCCGGAAGGGCAACCACTTAGTGGCTTATTGACTGAGTCAAAGGCAGGAGATGGAGGAGCGACTCCCCCGGGAGGGGAAGAAGCACATGTCCAGGAGAGCTTCCCTGGGGGTAGCGCAGGAGAGGCTCTGCGGTCGGTCCAGCCTCTGGCGGCATCTGCAAGTGGGGTGAGGCGGGAACAGTGCCGGATGCTTTGGAGGGCTCCCTTTGGCTGGCACTCGGGGGAACCAGATAACGTGCGAACCATCTCTGAGCCGTGGCCGGGAGATGGGCATCGTAACGCTGTCATTCTCTCTTGCAGAGCTCCCGCTGACCTTGACGCCCTCGGCAGAAGCGCAGGTACGTTGCCGGTGCCTTGTGGGAAATAGCAGGTCCCTTCACTGCGTCCTCAGAGGTCGGAGCCACCTTCCAAAGTGCGTGTTCAAAGGCGCTGGCATGTCTCCCTCCTGCCAGGAAGCACGCGAGGCCCCCCTGCACCGTGGCTGCTTCCAGATCCTCTGGAGGGCAAAGTGCAAGTCCCTTGATTTGCACCTGGAGCATCCCTCCCCCGCTCTCCTCTGCCCCCACCCAGGTTGGCGGACGACTGGGCCTCGCTTCCCCCCTCACTTTCCCATGGGCAGAACAGGCCACCAGCCCTCCTGCTCCAGGTGCCCAGCGTCTCTTGGCCGTCGGCGCCTGCCGGCTCCCGGGGGCAGCTCAGGTTCCCCTTGGCTTCTGGATAAATAATGGACCCACAGTGTTCCCGGCTGGGCAGCAGGTGGGGGGGGGCAGCCGCCTTCTATTGCTTTTGCTCACCTTTCTGTTGCTGTTCAGTGAATGGAAAGGATTTTCATTTCAAAATTGAAGAGTCAGCCAAAATGACGGAGGGGCTGCGGCACGGAGGGCTCTGGCCCAAACCTCTTCTCCAGGGGGCCAGGGCTGTTTCTGAGCCTGAACGCCCACTGATGCCGGCGGAAGGTTTCTGTCCTCCGGCCACAGGCAATTTGCAGTCCTTCCCCAGCTGCTGAGACACGTGCCCTGTCAGGGGGAGCCGCCTCCTGCGAGAGATGTGAGGAACGGAGGCCTGAGAATTCACTGCAGCTGGAGAACTGGCCACCTTTGATGGGATGAGCTTGTCGGCCGTTTCTCCCTCCCGTGAAATTCAAAGAGATCCTGGCGTTCGTTTCCAAATGCTGTTTTTAGTAGGAACCAGGCTGTGCTCACTTTGCACAGAGACCTGTCCTCTGGGCCTGATGGCCAGACTTGAGCCCCAGCCGGACACGCTGTGAGGCTCCTCACCCCGTCTTAGATAACAGGCCTTGCTGGGGGGGGGGGGCGTAGCCTTGGCCTGCTCCCTGCTGAAAGAGGTCCCTCTGGCCCCCACCCTCCGTCCGAGAGCGCCCGGTTATCCTCGGCACCCGGAGCTCACGGCTGCTCGCTCGCTTGCCCACTCGCAGATGGTGCAATCACTGGGCTTCGCGATCTACCGGGCGCTGGACTGGGGCCTGGGCGAGAACGAGGAGCGGGAGCTCAGCCCGGAGCTGGAGCGCCTCATTGACCTGATGGCCAACAGCGACTGTGAGGACAGCGGCTGCGGCACGGGGGACGAGGGCTACGGCGGCCAGGACGAGGAGGAGGAGGCGCTGGCGGAAGGGACCCTGCGGGCCGTGCGCACCTTCAGCCAGGCCATGCGGCTCTGCGCCGCCCGCCTCACCCAGCCCCAGGAGGCCCAGGCCCACTACCAGGCGGTGTGCAGGGCCCTCTTCCTGGAGACGGTGGAGCTGAAGGCCTTCCTGGCCAAGATCTGCGACACCAAGGAGGTGGGTGCCAGACGTGGGCGGGGCAAGCACCGGGGTCCCCCGGGGTCACACACGGGGAGAAGAAATGGGGCACAGGCCAGCCCTCGTGGCGCTGCCTGTCCTTCCTCTCCGCAGCAGAGGCCCTCTCTCGGGAAGGAGGCAGAGCGGAGGCACGGGATCGCCGCCCGTCCCCTGGCCTGCCACTCCTCGCTGGGCAGGAGCCCGCCGTGGCGAGCCGAGCGCGTGGCACTCACTGGGCGCTCTCCAGCCCAGTGTTTATCCAGGGAGGGCCACTGGTGTCTCTTGGAAAGCCCATCCTGGGCGGTGCGGGCGCTTCTGGCTCCTCTCCGGAACCTGGAGGTTCCAGACTGCAGTGCCAACGCGGAGGACTGTTCGGCCTGCGGGACGGGACCTGCCGCCTTCCCCAGCCTGCTGCCCTCCCCCAGGGGCACTGGATTACCGCTCCAGCTACCCCAGCTGGCACCGTCCGTCCGTCCCTGTCGAGGAGAGGCGAGGACGAGCGCCACGGCCTTTCTCTTGTCCCTTGCTTTTCCGTCCCCCAGCCCCCAATTCCCTCCCTGCTCTGCAGCCCCTGGGCAGGGCTGGTGGTCACTGGGCCATGCTGGCTGGGAGGGCTTGTTCGGCTCCTGGTGCTTCCGCAGCGCCGCAGGGAGCTTGGCCCCACCACCCATCTCCATGCTGTTGGTTTGTTGGTTCGGGAAAAGCGGCTCGCCAGAGCCGGGCCTGAGGGGAAAGGCGGGGAGAGCGAGGAGGGGGGCTGCCCCTCCTTGCAGAGTGATTACGAACGCGTGAGAGGGAGGGTGGCTTAACGGGGTCAGGTGTCCGCCTGCCCCTGCGTTCGTCAATGCCCGCAAGTGCCTCGGCGACCGCAGCCTGGCGCGGAGCTGCTCCGCGGAGCTTTGTGGCCTTGACAAAGCGCACCACGGGGTGGGTGCGGGGTGTGCGCTGGGGTGGGGCCAGGGGCGCACCGGTGCTCAAGGGTGGGGGGGAGTGCTTCAGGTAGCCCGCGAGGCCCCATCCCAGCAGGGCCCCTGAGAGCGCCAGGCCTGCCACCGCACCAATCCCGGCTCGCTCGGGGCACAGCGCCGGGTGGCCCGCAGTGGCAAGACCTAACCGGTCCTCTCGGCCTGTCGTGCAGATGCTGACGAGGCTGAAGGACGAGGACGAGGAGCTGAGGGGCCGATCCGCGGCGGAGCTGGACAACTTGAGGAACACCGACTGGGTACTGAGCAGTGGGGGCGGGTGGCGCTGGGGAAGAGGGGGCGGGCCTCCCAGCCATGGGCCGGCTCCTGCTGGACCGGGCCGCCCAGGCCATCCCTGGCCCAGCAGCCCTCGGCTGCTTCCTGCAGGGCTGGGCCTCTTTGCACCCAGGGCCAAAGCCCGCCCTGGAGCAGCCCTTGGGACCAGCGCTCCAGCCACGGACGGCCGACCGGTGCCGGCAGGGGAAGCCACCAGCTCCACGCTGTTGCGGCGGTTAATTCTTGTTACGATTACGCTGCTGCCTGTTTATTTAGGATCCTTAATTGAATTACTGCTTTTTGAGCATTGCTTAAGTTAGTATGTATTATTTAAGTGTATACATTAGTTTCCACCACAAAGATCAGCCTTAAAGCTCCTCGCACACAATATAGAAATCCATAATTCAGTAGGAAAACAGAAAGATGGCCCTCACCCACGAAATCACTGCCAGCCACAATCAGTGCAGTCCCACAAAATGCCAGGGACCCGGCCTGCAGAGAGGCATTTTGACTTTTCGAGTGGAAGAAGCTTGCACAAAACCAGCAGACCTTTGCGGGGGGAGCAGTCCCGGGGACAAGGGGCAGGGTCTTATGGAGGACGCTTGTGGGACGGGCTGTGAGCGCGGAGGGCGCGTCTGGCCTGCAGGCTGAGGGGGGCCAGAGTGAAGTCAGGCTGGGCAAAGACGTGGACGGCCCCGTGTCCTTCCCGGAGCAAGCCTGAGGGCGGGCTGTGGACGCCGCCTGCCCCAGCTGCAATGCCGCGTGTGCCTCGCAGGCTCGGCTTTGGGTCCAACTGATGCGGGAGCTCCGGAACGGGGTCAAGCTCAAGAAGGTCCAGGAGAAGCAGTTCAACCCCCTGCCCACCGAGTTCCAGCTGACCCCCTTCGAGATGCTGATGCAGGACATCCGGGCCCGCAACTACAAGCTCCGCAAGGTCATGGTGAGCAACGGGGTCATGGGCAGCAGCGGTCGACGCGCCCTCCCTCCTCTTCCTCCTTTTCCTGCTGTGCCGAGCAGCCAAAGTCACCGTCCCTCTTCCAGAGTTTTGTGGAGGAAAACCGGGACGTGTTCATAACCCCGATCTCACCAACAGCCACTTCCCGAGCCCTGCTTCCGCCTTTATTCCGTGTTCTGGACTTCCCTGAGCTGCTGCTTTCCTGGCGTGTTAGACTACAACTCCCCTCTTCATGTGGGCTGGGAGTAATGGGAGCTGTAGTCCAACGTATCAGGGGAGAACTAATTTATCCTCCAGTTCCCGCTTCTCCCTGAAAACAGCAGCCAAAATCGCGCGTCCCTCTTCCCTGTTGAAGATACTTTGGAAAAATGTGCTTCCTCCTGGCACACTTTTCATGAAGAGGTCAAAATATGCCCGGCAACTGCTGAGGGTGCTCAGGAGCATGGCTGGCTGCATGTTGCCGTGATATTCACATGTGTGCACCGACACGTATACACGCCAGCAGCAGGACGCACACCCTGCCCCGGTCCGAGATCTGCCTCCGAGGCCCACCTGAAATCCGAAGGGCATCTCACCGTGGCAAACCTTTCAGGAACTCCCGAAGGCAAAACACAAAAAGCTAAAAATAGGGACAGGGGCCTTGCGAGAGCAGGAAATGGGCCACCGTCAGGCGGCACGTGGGGAGGGAGAGACGCTGCTAATTCTTCCTTCCTGCGGCACCTCCGCCAGGTGGACGGTGACATTCCTCCGCGGGTGAAGAAGGACGCCCACGAGCTCATACTGGATTTCATCAGGTCCCGTCCGCCCCTGAGGCAGGTGAGCCAAGCCGGGCGAGCTGCGTCCGCTTCCCGTAAGCCCTGGCGGGCTGCTTTAAGGGGTTCACGGCATGAGCGCACGGGCTGCCTCCTGCCGGTCACTGGGCTAGCGGTGGGGCGGCAGTGCGCCCGCTGGCTGCGGTGGCCACTGCGGCCATGCCCTGCTCCGTCTTCGAGATCCTGCTAGCTGGACACGCCAGGCCAGAAACGGGGCCTGTCTGCGCACAGCACACGCTCTCCCTTCCAGCCACGGCTTCTCCCGCCGCATGGACGGTCTCGGCTGCCCCACCTGCCTTGCTTTATGGGGCCAGCAAGTGTGGCCTCTCTAGTCCGTGGCTCCCTAATTAACTACAGAGTCCAGCTGGGTAGTTCCTGTCAGATATCTTGCGCTACAAATCCCATGGGCTCCAACCAGCATGGCCATTGGTTGGGAATGGAGTTCAGTGGCACTGCCCTTGTTTTCCACATGCGTGGCCCTGGGTTTGGTCCTCGGCAGCAGATTATCCTTCCTGAAGCCCCGCCAGTCAGTGATCCGCTTTGCACAGAATGCTGGCAAACTGTGGGTTAATTAACCCATGATTTCCCATGGTATGTCCTGAGTACCTTCTGCAGCCATTTTGGATATTCAAACTACAATCACATTGATTAGGAGTTGCCACATGACTCTGATGCTATAGGTGAAGCATGAGTTAAACAGCCCGCAGTTAACCTACAATTAGGTTTGGGTTAACTGTGGGTTGTTTAACCCACGATTGAAAGTGTCCACATGTGGGCGTCGCATAGCAGTGCCTGATTGGTCGTTTTGCTGTTACGATCCATCAATTTGTCCCCAACTCGTGCTGACCTCCTGAATGACCATCTTGCCCTTGCCAGCACTGCTCAGCTCTCATACACGCAGGGCCGTGGCTTCCTTTGGTTCGGGGTTAAATATGAAACATGCGACCGGCACATGGCAGAGCAAACGGTGGGTCGATTAGTGGGCCCCGTGTCTGCAGGGGTAGATGAACCGGTGAGCTCCCTCCCACCTCTCGAGGGAGCTTTGGCCTCAGGGGTCTGTGGGTGCGTGGGAAGTGGGCACAGCTCTTCTGGCCTTGTCCCCCACCGCAGGCTTCAGAGCGGCGGTTGCGCCCCGAGCCTCAGAAGCAGAGGACGCTGCACGAGAAAATCTTGGAGGAGATCAAGCAGGAGCGGACGCTTCGGCCCGTCCAGCTGCGCTTCCAGAACCAGAAGGGTGAGAATGGATTGCTCGGCCTCTCCTCCAAGGAGCCTGAGCTGCTGTGCATGAGCCCCCTCCTCCTCTTCTCCATTTTGTGCTCACGACAGCGCTGTGAGGTAGGTCAGACTGAGAGGCAGCGACTGGCCGGGGTCACCCAGCGAGCGGAGTGGGGACTAGGACGGGCCTCGAGTCACACTCCAACCCGTGCCTGGCTCTGGCTTGTGGTCATTGGCCGTCTCGAGGAGCTCTGAAGCCGCAGGGCCTCCAGGGGACCCTCTGGCTGGGACCCAGGCCTTTGAGAGTGGCGGCTCTGACTGGCTCAGCACACTCCCGGAGGGGAAAGAGTGTCCTGCGCAAAACGCGGGGTTGCCGTGTGCCGTGTGAGGCCAGCCTGAAGGCTCGGAGATGAGGAGCCGCACCAGAGGTTCCCGCAGAACTTGCTCGCTTGCTCCTTGCCCCCACAGCATGCCCTCCCCGTCTGACAGGCCCTCTCCCTTCCAGGATTTGGCTCCTTGCCCTGCATCCTGGACGCCTGCTCCAGCAGCATGAAGTCGACCTCTTGCATCAACCTCTCGGGCATGGAGCCCAGCGCCCCGCCCCAGCGCCAACGCCAGCGGGTCCTGTTGAAAGCGCCCACGCTGGCGGAGATGGAGGAGATGTTTGCCTCGGAGGTGCGGGCTCGGCGCTGCCCTTTGCTGGGGCCCTGGAGGCTCCGGGAAGGATCGGGACCCGGTCTTCCCGTCGGAGTCAGCGGCAAGCTTCAAGGCGTACGCTGCGCCCCCGCTTGGAAGCCGCCCCCGCACCTAAGTCAGTTCCCTCCCACTCTGCAGGAGGAAGACTCCCCCGTCTCCGAGGCTGTGCCGGGCCCGCCGATGCCCCTGAAGCGCGACCGCTCCTTCTCGGAGCAAGACCTGGCCCAGTTTCAGAGCGAGAGCGGCAGCGGCCAGCCCGGACCGGAGCACTTGGGCCCCAGCGGGTCCGAACCGCGACCCCGCTCAGGTACCGCCGGCGCTGCATGGACCAGCGTGGAGAGCCCGGGCAAGTGCGCCTTCCCCCAGTCCTCCTCTGCCGTAGAGCTAGTGGCACGTGTGCTGGAAGGGGGGGAGCACTGTCCCGACAGACACCTTCCGCCCAGCCAGGCCGGTTTACTTTCTGCAGAGACGGCACCATCCTCTTTCGAGGGTGCGTGTCCCCAGGCAGAACTTCCGGGGAGCGCCGCCTCCCAGCCACGGAAGACCCGCCGGGCTCGGCGCTGTCCCCCAGGTGCCTTTCCCACGGTCACGGCTGCTCCCAAACAAAGCTGACTCGTTCTGTTCTTCTCCAGGTTCGGTCCCAGCCAGCTACCACCAGGCCCCCTGCAGCGGCAGCCCGTGCCCCCCCAAGCACAGTCTCCTCAGCTCCGTCGATGAAAAGTCAGAGGCGGGGCCTGGTCCTGCCCCAGATCCCAATCTGAAGTATTTGTGGCTGGTAAGTGGCTGATCCGGCTGAACGGCGGCTTGAGGCTGCGCTCTGCCACCGTGAGGATGGGCTGTGCTGGCCACTGGTGTGACCCACACCTGGCTGAGTGGAGAGCGGCAGTGCTGCAGGCGGGGCAGGTGGCCGGGCGGCATGAAGGCGCTCCCTGCGGGACATGCAGGCGGCGTGGCAGGCAAAAGCCCCCGGGTCCCTCCCTCGTGGGGGCCGCTGCCTCGGCAGGCCTCCCCCTGCCAGCCCGCGTCTCCGTCCTGCAGCAGGAGTTCAGCCATCCCGTCGAGAGCCTGGCACTCACGGTGGAGGAGATGGTCAACGTGCGCCGGGTGCTGGTGAAGGCCGAGATGGAGAAGTTCCTGCAGAGCAAGGAGCTGTACAGCAGCCTGAAGAAGGGGAAGGTGAGCCGGGCGCTGCCGGCGGTGTGCGGGGCTCGGGCCGGGCCAGCACGGCCCACCGGCTCAACTCTCTTCCCTATCCGCAGATCTGCTGCTGCTGCAGAACCAAGTTCGCCCTGTTCTCCTGGCCCCCAACCTGCCTCTTCTGTAAGAGGTGAGCTCATCCCGGTGGGAGGGTCCAGGCCGGGCACCATGGCTGGAGGAACGGACGGGCAGGCGCTGCCGGGACGCCTGTCCAAAGTTTGTGGCTTCCCATCCGCTTTCTTCCTTTTTTAGGTCCGTCTGCAGCTCCTGCAGCTTGAAGGTAAGAGACTTTGGTTTGGCTCCACTCTGTCTGCTCAGGGGGCAGCTGCCCCATCCCAGGGGGGCTGCTCCTTCCGGGGTCTTCCACACAGACTCCCACGGGCTGGAGCCTGCTCTTCATGCCTCATCCTCTGATGCCACCCTCTCCCTCTCTCACGCCCTTCTAGATCAAGATGCCGTCCAAGAAACTGGGCCACATCCCTGTCTATGCTCTGGGCTTCGAGAGCCTGCCGGGCTCGCTTGGCCTCCGGGCACCCGCCTTGCGCAGGAGGGAGGCTTTCCAGTGAGTGCCCCCCTTTTTCATGCCTCTGCCCGGGGAGCTCGTTTCTGGGGCACTCCGGGGCCCAGGTCCATGCACAGGGAGGGCAGCAACTGCATGCCGGGGGAGGCCTGGCTGTGTGCTGAGGACTTTGCGTGTGGGGTGGGTTAAACCGGCTCCTCTGGCCAGTTAGCTGCCTCTCTGCAGGCTCTGAGGGTTAAGAAGGCAAAACCTGGACCAAAAATAGCCCGGCAATTTCTCTGGGTGCTGGTAACAGACCTTCCCCGACTGTCAAGCCTGGGGTGTTTGAGTCCGAAACACGGCTGGTCTCGCACCACGTCTGTGCTCCCGGCATTGGTCGCTTCAGCCTTGCGTCCCCCGATTGGGGGGGGGGGGCCTAGGGTGGCATGCGCGAGGCTGCGGGTCCTTTCCTGGCACTGCTGAGGAGGCGCCTCCGGGGCCCTGGGGAGCCTTTGCTGCCAGTCAGGCCGGCCCGGGCTCCACAGATGCCAGGGAGGGCGGCCACTGAGGTTCCTCCTGCCCGACAGAGAGGGGCCGGTCGCAGGCTGGTTCGCTCATGGGCAGAGGAAGGCCTTGGGGTGACCCCCTCTCCCCGGCCCATCTCGCCTCCCAGCTCCCTGCAGGGCACGAGCTGGCGCAGTGTGGAAGAGGAGTTCCCGTACATCTATGCTCACGGCTCCGTGCTCAAGGACGTTTGCAGCGACTGTTCCGGCTTCGTCACGGACGTCGTCAGCTCCAGCCGCAAGAGCATGGACATCCTGAACCGGACGCCGTGCCGCAGCCGCAAGACCCAGTCCCTGTACATCCCGTCCAGCTAGATGGGCACCGCCTCCCGGAGCGGCTCCCCGTCCGCCTCGGCTCACCCTGCGCCCGACCCTTACTTCTCGGCCTCCCGATGTTAAGCGGCCGGTGCGGAGGGGGCCGCCGAGGCTCCCTGGGCCGCAGGAAGCTGTGCGTGACTCTGGGCTGCGGGGGGGCCCTCGCCCCCCTCGGCTGGCTTGCTTACTCGCATCTGCTCAGATGCCCGGCACTCCCTCCCCCACCCTTCCACAAGCGTCTCCTGCCCGTGTGTGTACATATATACATACCGATAGACTCTCTATATTTATATTGGTGGACCGGCTGCTCTGACTTACGGGAACGCCCATGCCTGGCAAATTCTGCTGAAGGAACTGCCCCCAGGTGCCCCCCCCCCGCCCCCCCCCCCCCCCCCCCCCCCCCCCCCCCGAGTCTTCCTTGGATTGTAAGTAGACAAAGGGCCCGGTAGGATAACCTGGAGCGCCCGGGCGAGTCCAGGCCCCCATGTTGCAGCACTGGAACTGGAACACGGAGGCCCCGCAACAGCCGTGCCCTAAGCAGTTCCCTGACCCCCTTGTGGGTTCTGGTTCCCAGAGAAGCAGCAAGGGAGGCTTCCAGCTGCTAGCCCCTCTGCATGCGGAGTCCCAAAGGGGCGTCCTGTTTGGGTCACTCCCGGTCTTCCGGACGACAGGCCCCCCTTGCAAGCGCCGGCATGCCACTAGACTTGAGCCACCGCCTGCTTCGCCCCTCCCCTCCCGCTCCATGCCTGAGCATCTGCCCAGTCCAGGCAGCGAGAGGTGTTTTAAAGTCCATTCAGACTGGCCGGGTCTGCTTTCTGACTCTCCCTCGGCTAAGGGGCAGGTTCTCCCAGCCCCCTGCCTCTTAGACTGTTCAGGAACATGTCTTATGTGTACAATGAATGATGAAATCCCTAATTTTGTGAGCATGTAAACAAAGAATACACAATGTCTGCCTGCTGTGTGGCGTGGGCACCAGGCCGTGGGGGCAGATGGGCAGGCAGTGGGGAGGGCAGTGGGATTTGGTTGGTGCTGGATGCACCCAAGGCCAGGCGCCACATCATGGCGGCCACCGTGTGTGGCAGGGTCGCCTTCTGTGGCGGCAGAATTGGTAGCCGCCCTGCCACCAGCCGGCCGTTTGGTCACCTGTGGCCAGCCGCAGGATCAAACTGCTGCCCCAGGGTTAGCGGCTGGCTCGTCGGCTCCCGGCAGTCCCGGCCACGTGCTTAGTGATAGGGATGTTGGGAGCTGTGGCCCAGAACCCCTGGAGGGCAGCTGACTCCGGGGCTGACCCCGGGCTCCTCGGCCACTTAGCCCTGTGGCTCTGGGCTCGTTCCCCTGGACCCATCCGGCGTCGCCCGTGTTCTCCAGGGAACAGCCAGCGTTCCTGGGCTTTGCGAAAGCCGCTTTGCTCGCCCATCGCCAAAGCGACAGCCGTTCTGCTGACAAGGAGGCGTGACCGGCCGCGCCTCACCACTGCTCCCCCGCTGCCTCGCCTCTGCCAAATGCCACCACCCCTTGCCAAGCGGTGCCAGGCCCCCAGCTGCCTGGGCTCTTCTGGCCTGGGGGAACGGGGGGGGGCACAGCTTCCTGCCCACGCCTGTAGTTTCATCCTGGTGCCACTGGGCTCCTCTGGGTGCATCGTGACATTTTCCAAGCGCGCTGGCCTGGCAGCACCGGCCAGCAGAGTGTCTTCCTAGCCGCAGACACCCAGCCAGGAGGGCCACTCAGCGGCACTCTGACTGAGCCTTCACGGGGCTGGTCTTCCCCTGCAGAGGGAAGCCAGCGCTTCCGCGGTGCTGGCGAGCAGGTGCACAGCCCGGCCTGGGGAGCGGCCCAAGCTCTCTGCTGCTGCTGCTTCTCCTCCTCGCCCCAGCGCCGCTTGTGCCAAACCACTTGCCGGGCGCTCCCCTCGGCTGGCCACGCTGCTGCCCCTGGCCCGGCATGCCTTGCTGGCCGAGCTCCCGGTTCCTGCAGGAACTCTCAGCACCCCCCACCGGAAAGTGGAGGGCCCCACCCTGCTCTTGCAGGGCCTGCCTGCCCTTGGCCTCCCCCAGCCCATGTTTTATATGCAGCCTGTACTGTAAACCCTTGTAAATAAAACTGATTGCAAACCTGCTTGGGGCGTCCTGCTCTGTCTCCCTGCTCTGTCTCCCGGGGGAGGGATGGGGTCACGCTGGGAGGTGCTGCCCTGCGACCGGCGGAGCAGGGGAGAGCGCAGCAGCACTCGGCCGAGGGAAGTGGGGCAGGACAGTCACTCGGGGGGCTGGAGCTGCTTTCATGGGGGTGAGCCCCCTGGCTTTGCTGCTGCTCTTCCCTGCTGTACACGATGGGTCCTTCTGCCTCTTGCTCTGGCGGAGTGGGTGGGAAGGGCCTGGGCAGGGCACCTCTGTCCCGCGGATCCCCACACTTCGCACCCAGTGCTAACGGTCTTGGGCTACATGGACAGGAAGCATCCAGTCACATGCTTGGCGCAACACATGCTCGAAAGACCAAATGATTCAGGAAGAGATGAGGAGGTGCTGGCTCCAAGTGCTTAGCCTACACCTTAAGGTTTTGCTCCAGCATCAAGTTCTAGCCCCCAGGTAAACATCTTTGCTCCTATGCCCAGTTCTGGATGCAACACCTCAAGAAAGATGCAGACAAACTGGAAGAAGTTCAGGGAAGGGCAACAAAAGATGACCGGGGAACTGGGACCAAGCCCCATGAGGGGAAACTGGGAAAACTGGCGTGTTCAGCCTTCAGCAGACGAAGGGCGCGTGGGATAGCGCTCTGCGAGTACTTGCAAGGAGGTCACGCAAAGGCGGGCTGGAAAGGCTTCTCAGGCGTGCAGGCCACGGAACAAGGGCTCAGGGTACAGGAAGCCGCATTGCGGCTGAGCGTCCGGCAGCTCCCCCTGCCTGAGCAACGCGACCATGGCTCGGCCGGCGGAGGGCTCCCGCGCACCGGGGGCGCGCAGGCGAGCCGGGCAGCCGCCTGCTGGGGGGCTGGGCGTGGAGCCCGGCACGGCACGGAGCGCGGCTGGGCCCGGCGCCCTGCGCGCCCCTTCCGGCCCAGCCCTGCTGCCGCCTGGGATCTCAGCCGCAGAAGGCGTGCGGCGGCGGCCGCCAGGCTTCAAGGCGGCGTCTGGGCCATGGGCTGGGGACGGCAATGCACAGCCTCGAGAGGCAGGGCCCGTGTGGACCGGTTGCTGGGGAACATGGGTTTGAGGGGGCCGCTGCGCTCGCGCCCCACTTTTCGACCTGCGCGCGGGAAAAGCGCTTCGCGCGCCCGCCGCTCGCGAGAAATAAGGACCGCCGAGGTCCACTGCGCGGAGCGTCCACGCGGCTCTCCTGCACGTGCGCATGCGCGGAAGCCAGTCAGCGAGACGGAAGGAGAGAACGGCGCTCAGGGCGCTCTGTTTTCTTTCGGGTTGTCCTCGCGGCTTCCGGTCCGCCGGGTCTCCTTCTCGGGCTGCTACAGCTGCGTTATGTCGCGGCGGGCCTTGAGGCGGCTGCGAGGGGAGTCGCGGGGCCAGGCGCTGCCGGAGGAGGAGCCGCCGCCGCCGCCAGTCTTGGGGAGGCCCGAGGCGGAGGCGGAGGAGCAGGCGGCAGGAGGCCGCCGGCGGCGGCGGCAGGCGGCGGCCGGGCGCGTCGCCAACCTGTTCGAGCTGGTGAGTGGCAGCTCAGCGGAGGAGCCCCTGCATGGCCCAGGGGCGAGCACGGGCGTTGGCGAAGGGCCCTGAGCCCACCTGTGGCCGCTGCTGGATGTTTCTAGGGAAGGTCCCGAGCAGGCAGGCACCCTCACTTGTCCCATCGCAACTTATGTTCAGTGGCGGCTACCCCTGTGCGTGGCAGTGCGCTGCTCGCTATCACAGCCAACCAGTTACTCTGCTGGACCAGCCCAAAGGCCCTTCTCGCTCAGCATGCTGCATCCCGTGGTGGCTGGCAGGCAGGGTCCTTGCGAAGCGGCAGAGCTCCTGCTTTGCACGAAGAAGCACTGACAATGCAAGGCCCGGTGGACCAAGGATATGACGCTGTATAAGTCTGCCTCTGATGTTCACATGTTCTTCTGGGGAGCTTAGAAGAGGCAGGGCCTAACAGCAACAGCCCCTCCCAGATCTAAGCCACTGTGTTCCAGAGATAGACTAGCTCTGTTCATGGAAGTTCCCTTTTTCTGCCATGGCTACCATGGCTTCTCCTTTCTTAAAGCCAGCTGAGAGGGTGCTGCATCTTGTTGGATGACTGCACCAATCATTGTACCAGTCTGCACCAGTTGTTTTGCTGGAGGACTGGGCTACATTTCCATGGGAGAAAAGAGAAAAAGGAAGTCAGTCCCTTCTGTCTGGTTGTTGGAGCTATAAATCTGCCTTATGCTGAGTCTACTAGTTATTGGTCAATCTAACCTGAGATTGACTGCTACTCCTAAGGGCAGTCACTCTCCAAAATCCCAAGCAGAGACCTTGCCCAGCCCAGCTTTCCATAATCTATTTAACATGGTCTGTTCAGAACAGAAGCTGCAGCCTCTTCTATATGAAGCATTAGCTGTTTGTTAGCGACTGATAGGTGTCCCCTTGATCAGATTCACAAATCCATTCCTTTGCATTCATTTCACACCTTTTAGGAAAAGCAAGCACAGCCTCTGTTTTTATTTCAGTAAACAATTGTGAAGTCAATTCTGTTTGCTTAATTGTTCCAGATAACCAGTGAAGAACCAGAGGATGAGCTGCCATTCAGAGAGGAGAAAGATGATTCCAGGCTGCAGGAGGAAGATGACACAGGGAACAAAGAGGTGGAACCTGGAAGTCTGGAGAGGGACAGACAGAAAGAAGGAGAAGAGGCTGAGCAACTGGACCAAATGGTAAGTTCTCTCTGGGTGGCTGAATGCGAACATAAATAACTGTGCAACAGAGCAGCTCACACGCGCCCCTGGGAAAGACAAGGAGCTGTCTTTGTGCGGTTTCCTTGAGCATGTTGTGCGAATCAGGCTCCAAGCCCTGCTTTTGTCACAGGCTGAAAATAAAA